AGGAGCTAGAACAAAAATTTTTTTATCATTAAATAGGGAATTGTTTATACTATATACACCACTATTCAAAACAAAAAAATTCGCACCTACGATTTTTTCAGAAAACGCCGCCTAAATGCCCACTGTGCGTACCCGTACTTTTCAAAGGTTTCATTTGATACTCGTATTCGTACCGATAAATCTGAAAAAGTTTTGCAGAGCTCTATTTGTAACCCTTTTATTGCAATCGGAAGCCAGTAAATAAGCCTCTGTATTTGCCTAATTCATTTATTACTCACTTTCTATATGTACAAATAATAAAACAAAAAGACGTTCATTTCTTTTTCGCCATTGATTCGAGCATGGCATATACTGTTGAAACAAAGTCTGGAAATGTTGGTTCAATTAAATATTTTTCCAAAAACTCTGTCATATTTTCATTATGAATAGGTTCACTATAATAATAAGACGATAACTTTATTGTTTGTTGCTGGCTCAATAATAATTTAATCATATCTGGCGTACTAACAATTGAATTTGCGTCAATTGTTGTTGACATTGTTTGTTCAACACCAGAGGTCTCATTATCATTCATATTTGTTAATTTACAAAGTTTTTTCAAATATTTTACACAGTTTTCGCAATGATCCGAGCCTTTTTGCGTATCACTTGAAGCAAATTGTACACGAAATTCACGTCTACATCGATTGCCGGTAATATAATAAAGTAACAGAGCATCACCAACATATGTACCCGTTACACTACTAATAACTGTTGGCCATAAGTCAATACATTCTTCAATATCATTATCTCTGGTAACAAATAGTTGTTGTGTCGATGTTAAACTCAAACGCAACTGACCATCACTACGATCAAACTGACGCTGTAGAATAGTACCACCACTGTTTGCAGAATTATGAATATCAACCGAGTAACGAATGAGTGACCAATGTTGTGTTAATGGGGATTGTACTGCCATATCTAAAGCATTCTGTATATAACAAACATTCTACCATGTTTAAAAGGTTGGAAAGCATGAGCGCTGGGACTACCATTAGAAACAGGTCTATATATTCTGATCAGAATATACACAAAAAAAGCTATTCCAATTGAGGTGCCACTAGGCAACTTTTCAGTAAAATTCGATATTGCATAAAATCATTACAGCATAAGAAAGAGCATTAAAAACTACAACAGAAACTGTCTTTCTGGTGTCAAGTTTTCAAGATATTTTTCGAAACAAAAATATATATCCCGTGGTATATAGACCAAAAACTTGCTTAATGATACCGATATTCACTAAAATATATCACTTTCTCGTAATAAAATAGACTGGAAATAGACGGAACGGTATAAAAACTATTTAGAATTTCGTTGGTTAGTTTCGAATGTTTTCTTATATATTTCGTTTCAGATAAGTGTACATGTTAGTTCCAGTATATAATTATTTACATCGTACGAATGAATCGAATTTTGTAGTGCATAAGTGACCTAGTACACTTGCCGCATATACATACAATTCTCCGGTATATGATTTTTTCCTCTACTACGATTTTCAAATTCAGTGATTATTATAGTACGATTGTTAATATTGAAGAATGTGAAAGTCTGGCTTTCATTTTAGAGAACTTAACAAAAACTTAAAGAACACCACATCATATTTATCAAATAAAGAACCTTTATATGTAAAACATAGTTTTGATCTATTATATAGTATAAGTATTTCAAGTCAGTTTTTTCCATTTCTTACTCATCAGACGAAAATAAGTCCAAAAGACAAAGATCAATATATATAACAAAAATGAATCTTTCATCCAGACAAACACGATAGAAAAGATTGATAATTGGCGGCTACGAGTAGACCTAAAAACATATACACAAATATCTCATGAGCATGACATCTAAATTACTCAAGTTTCTCAACTCACATACTTTTCGTGTTTATTTAATGGAATATTCTAAACAAAAATAAATTTCAAAAACCAATTTCAAACATTTCTCCGTTGATTATACAAAACTAAGAAATGCTGAAATAATTAGGCACATTGATAAATATTAATTTAAAAAATAATTTTTATTCGTACATTTGGTTATTGAGAAAGATTAGATATGAACGATTACGATTGTTCTCACCATGACCATCGTTATCAATTTTTTCATGATTATTGCACAACAGATGAAACGGGAAAATATAGTTTTCATATTTTTAGACAAACATTGACCTTTTCGACTCGTTGATTTGCATATTGGATCGATTTTTAACATCTTATCTGTATGTTATGCTCGTGTTAAATTTGTTGAATACATTCAGGATCGAGAGATTTTAGTGTCTTCTAGCTATTAATACTTATTTGATAATATGGAATACTTTATTGGAGCGAAAAATGAAAATTCATACATAAATAAATCTATTTTAAAACAATATTAGACAGTTTGATTGTAAAAAAAAGAATAATACATCTATTTGAAGAGAGATCTGCAATCCTAGTTAACAATATTCAACTATTTTTTAAAAACTAAATTAATTTTGATTAAAAATATTTGTACTGTTGTTTCACTGTATTCCGGGAGAAAACATTTTGTGTACACTATTGCACGTAATAATATTGAAAGGAATAGCAGAAAAATAGTTGTATTCATATTATTCTACTCAATGAGGTCTTGAGAAGGTGGTATGACGGCACTTTTTTTGAACTTGTTCTTGTTTACCTGTATTTTGTTTTAAAAAATCTTTAATATGTTGTACAATCAGATCAACTGCTACAGAATTATCAGCACCTCTCGGTATAATAACATCGGCATACTTTTTTGTTGGTAAACAAAAATCTTCGAATGCTGGTTTAACGTAATTTGTATAACTATTTAGAATATGTTCTAAATTTCTACCATGCAATTTCATATCTCTTAATACTCGTCGAGCCAAACGTGTATCAGCATCAGTATCAACAAACAGTTTCATATTAAATAGGTCTCGAATTTGTGGAAAATAAAATACGAGTATTCCTTCCATAATGATAACATCGACCGGTTCAATATTTTCATATTCGCCATCAATATGTGAAAAAGTACGCACATCATATCGATTTATACGAACAGTTTTACCATTTAACAAATCTTGTAATGTAGTAAACAATAATTCATCATCAAATGCTACTGGATGATCTAAATTCCAATCACCACGTGTTGCTAATACACGTTGCTCTGCACTTTTTGGACGATAAAAATGTTCCAGTGCAATTACAGCCACACGATTTGCTTGATTATCAGTCAAACATTCTAGATCTTTTACGATTTTTTCACAAACGGTAGATTTTCCTAAAAAAACGATTTCTTTAAACCATGAAAAATACAGATGAATAACTTACCAGAACATGGGCCACCAGCAACTCCTATAAGAAATGGCTTGACGGGGGGACTGGACATCAGCCACAGAGAGTCCTAAGGTCTTCGTCCAACAAAAAAATAAATAATCATATCTGAAATGTAGAAACAAATATAAACCAACAAATACAATTAATCTTTTATATCAAGCATTGCTGTTCAGAACAGTGAAGAACATGATATTATTGTTAGTGGCATTGAGATAGCCATGTAAAAATCGACATAACGTACAATTATCTACCAAAAAGCTACGAAAATTATTCGAGTAAGAGGGAGATAGTTCTTAAAGTAACAGAAAGGATTGATCACTTCTTTTCGTCATACACAAAGTAGCCATGTTTATTATTTACAGTAAATTTAACAATATAGAATAACAAAAGAAAAAAATGATCTATCGCACAATTATTTCGAAATAAACAGCTCTTAAAGTATTGCATGAGAGCTCGTTTGTCTCAACTACTGCGTTTATCAAAATCAGTGCATAATGTACTGCTCACTAGGATTTGACCAGATGACATAAGAGTTGTTCCGTTGTGCCTTACAATGTACAATGGTTATTTTAATGTTCATCGGACTACTGCTAAAAGAAATCCATCATAACGTTAAAGTGTTATCTGTTCGAGCGCTCTAACCATCTTCAAATCTTGATTTAAAACTTATGGTATATGAGCCTGTTTTAAAACTCTTTCAATTAACATACAGATAACGTAGATTCTTATTTTCTTGAACTGAGAGTATGTTACTTTTCTCTCTGTATATATTAACAGTACAGATGGCCTCTCATTCTGCATGATTTCCACGCACAAATGTTGGCACTGAATTTAATAATTTTTTTTTTAAATCAGAATTTTCTCTAACTGTTTGTTTTTGTTCTACAAAAGCCTCCTCATTGACATCGTCATCGTTGTTCTCCTTCTCTTTCCATACATAAATCATTCCTTCTTGTGCTGTTATTATTTTATTTTCTTTAGGATGATGTGCTAATGTATTCACTGATTTCTTATTATCCTTTTCATGTTCTAATGAAAATACTTGTTTTGCTGTTAATAAATTCCAACATATTAATCGTCCATTTTCTGAACCACTATAGACATATTGATCATCATTACTAAATGAATTTTCAATCATATATTCATTATTTTTATAATCATGATAAGTTTGTAACAGTTTTCCATTCACTTTATCAAACAACAACAATTGACTAGATAGTGTACTAATAAGAAAACATTGTTGATCGTGCGAAAGACTAATGAACGTTAAATTATGTCCAATATAATCTTGATACAATTTTCCATATCTTATATCGTAAATACGAATACGTTGATCTAACGATGATGTTAATATTTCATTATTTCCTAAACATAGACTTGTTACACTATCTTTTGCATCATCTAAAATTTGAACTGGTTCATAATCACGACTTTTAACATCCCACAGTTTAACAGTGCCATCAATTGATGCCGATATAATGACAGTAGCCTCTTCATTGAATTTTACAGAATGAACACGTCCTAAAAACAACATATATTTTTGTAAAATATAAATGTTAAAAACAGAGATGTTATCTTACCTGCATGTGCATGAAATTTTTTCATGATTTTTCCACTAACAACGTCTATGTACAAAACACGTTTATCCATTCCACCTAAACAATATAAGATGAATTCATTGTAAAAAAGATAAATTAATTAAATAATATTTATGTATTTACCCGAGCAAATTCGTGAATTATCGAATGAACTTTGTATATCAAGAACATCCTGACTATGTCCAGTATACGTTTTTATACTCAAATTACTGTCGGGTTTCCACAGTTTGATAGTACGATCACTTCCGGATGTTAAGCAATAATTTCCATCGATATTATAACGTATACAACGAATTGCTCCATGAGCACCGGAAAACTGACGTTCAAGCTAAAAAAGATAAAAAAAAGAATAAAACGATGCTTACACACAACAAACAAATTGCAAGCAAAGACACAAAAGTCAGAATTTATTCCTTACAATAAAAATCGTCTTTAACAACGAAACTGTTGTACATAAGTTTAAACTCTTCAGGTTAGACGCGACTTATTCTAATCGCCTAAAGGAGTTTTTCTTGTCTATCCTCCAAACGAAAACTTTTTTATCACCTACTTGCATATTTTTGATGCGTATCTAAAACTTGTTTGATCATCAAATCTAAAAAATCAAAAAATAGCTATCAACGATTTCTGTGTCAGAAGCACAACAGAAAAATACAAGTACGTCCAACGTTTTGTTGTATGTGTATTTCACGTACCACTATGTACATTCCACTGTTCCAAATACTGTACTACATAACTTCAAAGAAACATGTTTTTGAAAATATTTCTAATGAATAAAACTTTTCTGATGGATGAACATAAATCAATCTTTTCTTGATACACTGCTTACGTTGATACTTCATTTATAGAAAAAGTAAAGAGTTGAATTAATTTGTCGAGGAACCTTTTTTTGCTTCTTAATTCATAGGTGAACTATACGCGTTCCTTGACCTATATAACCTGCAGAAGACATTTTCATATGAAATTGCATTCATACAGGCTATTTATGCTTAGAATGCGTGTGGTATGTAATGTTAAAAGGTATCCGCTTATAGACTAACGCAACATGTATGTCATAATTAACGCGAACATCAAAATTCTCATGATATACCATCCATTTAGAAAAGATTGATTGTTTATTTACTAACAACAAAGATGGAAAGCAAAATAGACAAACGAACCATGCATTTTTTTTTTATATAAGTATAAAAAACAGAAAATATGCCATAAAAAAATTTGGAATGTTAAAAATCAAGTCAAAACGTATTATGAGACGAAAGAATGATAGACGTTGTGCAAGATCAGATAAAAAAATATTTATTTTCGGTGAATTATTTAGAAATATATTTACAAAAAAGCATAATAAAAATGAGCGAAAAAACAACAATAACAATTAATCTTAAGTACTAAGAAGCGTATCATACGCTTGACAAACAAGATTTGTAACATCTGCCACTTTTGTTTTGAGTGATAACTAAAATGAAAGTAAAAAATATACACTTATTGCTTCAAAAACTCATTGGAAAGAGTCTGCTGTATGTAGTATATTTTCAGAACTACTTACAGATATTATTTTATTTCCCGGTGTTATTTTTAATTCACATAATATCCATATACCATTTGTTAATTTCATTGTTTGATATAACATTTCATTTTGTTCAATTGTTGTTCGTGTAATAGTATGAATGTTATTCAATCTCAATTTAGTTTGAATATCATCGATCGATAATGAATGTGTATTTTGTATTTGATGTTTAATTTCACTATTTTCTGGTATATTTTGCCATGCTTGAACAAACTGCATTTTATCCATTTCACCATCATCAGTAAAATAAACTTGAATTGGTACGATACAGGCAAAAAAAAAGAAATCAATGTTATTTTTAATTGCTACTTGTAAATTTGTTAACGGATCCATTTTTAATATTTGAGCATTTGTATTCAATTGTAATTGAGTTGATGATGTTTGATTAGGAAACAATGGAGTAGTTATTTGGAGAGGATTCGCTGGCGTTAAACCGAAACTGTTACGATTTAATTGTAGAGCAAAATCACTCATAGGTTGTAATGCTTTATTCTCGAAAGTCATGTCCATTACGATATGACCCAAACGGCGAGAAAATGTACCAGACACTTCTAAACCTTTTCCTTTGTGAGCGCTTAGCCAAACCTAGAAGAATTGAAAATAAAACATTTGAGTGAAAAAACGTTGGGAGAAGAGAACCAAAGTAACTTACTTCTTTCGGTGGTACGTATGCACCAGCGCCCGAAGAGGACAATGAACCCATTCCTCCACCAAGTTGTAAATCACCAAATAACTGACCAAGTAATTCTGTTGTTGTATTTGATATATTACCCATTATTGGACTTGTTACTTGTGTTGTTGATGGATGGGTATATAAATCAGTTCCTAATATTGAGGATAATTCATCATCGAGTAAATTTGGTACAGAAGATGGTGCATGTTGCGAAGTCGAAGGATTATAATGATTTGATTGAGTTGCAGTATTCATTGTTGGAATTGATCCTAATATATCAAAATCACCGATAAGTAAATCCGTATTATTTGTTATCACCGTTGTTTGTTGTTGTGCCGGTTTCGGTGGCATTATATCATTATCGTCATCGTCACCCATGCCAGCACCTGTACCCATATAATTGGCATCTGACGATCGTAATGGTAAATTTTTTTTCTTTGTTTGACGTCCTTCAACAAATGCATTTGGAGGTTTATGATAGACGGATGCTAATGATCCAATATGACAAATTAATTCATCTAATAATGTTGGTTCAAGTAAATCTGTTTCTTCCGATATCAATGGTTTTTCCGCTAAAACGACTTCTTTAGCTGCTTTTGGATCTGTCGATAATAAACGCCAATAGATATAACCTCGATCACGTAAATCAGGATTATCTGAATCCTGTTTAAATCAAAAAAACATCCATATAATAAGTGAGAAGGATTTATGATCAACAAAACTTTTCTTACCTGAGTGACCAATGTTAAAACACGTGTGACTAACTCTTGCGGTGTTTCACTCGGTTTTTTTAAAAATAATTTAACTATAGCCGTCAATAATTGTAATTGTACTTGATTATTTTCATCTTTGAATCCATCAAGAAAACTTTCTAATAATTCATCAGCATTGTCAATACGCTCAGCATATTCACCAATAATCCATATCATCGAAGCACTAGAAAAAGAATCCCATTAAAAGTTTATACAGAAAAATAGAATGATTAGAAAATTACCGTGCTTCAGGCTCATCCAATGAATCAAGATTTTCACACAATGTTGCAATAATACTTTCATATTTATTTGGATATTTTCGAAATATATCCTAAGATTCCCCAAAAAAGATGCTTACATTATCTCTCACAAAAAAATGTCACATACTTTAATGACAACAATTGCTTCTTGTACAACATAATTCACTTTTGTTTGAATAAGATCAATCAACGTACTAACACATCGTTCAGCTGCTGATTCAACCTTAATCGCACATCGCCCAATAGCTCGAACAGATTTTCTTACAAAATCAACGTCAACTTCAGTTGAATATCTAAAACAGTAGATACATATTATCTAAAAAAAATCAGAGAAAAAAATCTCTTACTCTTTTAATTCAGCTAACACTTGTGCTATATTCGATGCATTTGTCAAGCGTATCATTATATCTAATTTTTCTAATTTAACATAAACTGGATCATTATATTTTACAAAAAACACTTTCATTTCATTTTTCAATATATCAGCACTAAAACAGAAATGACTCTCAGAAATTAAAATTCAAAAAAAAAAGAAAATTATCATACCGTTTTTGAACAATTAAATTAATATTTCTTAATGCCACATACTGTAGTTCTGGTTCAGCTGATAATAATGTAACAAGAGGTGGTGCCAATTTACGATGCGTATTTTGTACAAATTCACTAGACTGATCAATTAATTCAAGAAACTTCATTAAAACCTTAAAATAAAAATATTTGAATAATTTATAACACACTAACGAATGATGTATATATATATATACTTTGACAGCCGATAAAACAACTGCAGAATTTGCATGCGCTAAACGAGGTGTTACTCGTTCACATATACTTTGTGCTTCTTTTTCATCTCTCGGTGAATAATTTGAAATAGCATCCAAAATAAATATTTGACCCCATTCGGTACACTCGTTTAAAGCTGTTAATAGTTTATTTATCGTTGGAGTATTCAAATCAAATACTTTAATTTGTGGTGATGCTTCAGCTATTTCACTTAATGCAGCCACAGCATTTGCAACAACCATTGGATTTGAATCAGAAATGAGATCTCGAAGCATATCAAGAAAACCTTGATCCTCAACTAATTGTTGATTAATATCATGTAATTTTGCTACACAAACAGCAGCTGTTTTACGAACATACGGATCTTCATCTTTTAAACATTTTCGTAATGGTTCGCATAAATGTTCGGTAATTTTATCAACACGTATACAACCCATTGTACGAACAGCTAAAGCACGTATCAACGGATTTGGATCATTACAGTCCTAAAAGAAATACATAATATTTTGAAAAATCAAAAATATACGAAGAAAGTTTCAGTTAAATCGATAAGTATCAATTTAAAATAGAATCATTCTAATTCAAAATTCATGTGGTTTATCTATCACTATCATTTTTGTCTTCACAGACAAGCATAAAGAGCTAGTTTAGCGGTCTACCTACCAGACGCCGAGTACCAGATCCTTATCATGCCAAAATTTAAAACAATGCAAATAAGAATGAAAAAACAAAAACAGCGCATACCTTCGCAAAGGTGTTAACAGCCAAAATTGCCATATCTGGCTGAGTTTTTGCATAATTCATTAAATATAAATAGACCAATTTTTTTAATTCTAAATTATCCGTTTGCATACAATTAACAACATCTGGAAACAATTGACTAGGAAAAAGAATTGATCTAATTGTAAAGAATGTTTAGTTCTTAAATTTGACTCACTTACCTAACATCTTTTCCAACCGTCATACTCGCTATTACTAGATAATTAAAAATAGAAAAAACAAATTAGAGATAGTAACAAAGTGTCTTTACAGAAAATTTACCTTTTTTTACCGCCTCTTTTTTCCGATCACGTTTATCACTGTTCAATTCAGCTTTCAGTTCATATATTTCGCCTAAAAAATATATGAAAAATATATAGAATTTCACAGGGTACATTAACTTATCTACCTTTCTTTGCCTCTGCATCATACATAGACGTCATAATTTATTTTTAAAAACCTCTTATTATCTGTAAAAGGAACTTCATTTTGAAACAAATTTTAATTAAAGAGATTTGAATGCACAACTTTGACAAAAACATATTATCGATTCTTTCTCCTATAGTCATTAATATTATGATAGATCGATCACTCATAAATTTTCATATTTTTTAAAAAAAGAGAATGCTTTCAAATTACACAAAATATTAACATAGAGTAATACAAATCTATAATTTTGCCATGCGTGAAAAAGTTTTTCTTTACAAATGTACTTAGAATAAGATTTGTCTATGCACGATGATAATATAGTAATAATAAAAGCAACTATACAATAACACACACTTGTGTTACGTAAAAAAGGTATGTAAAAAAAAGAGAACAAAAAAGAATAGTAATAGTAATTTACTAAGTAAGAGAGAAAGAGGTTAGTTAGCCATTAATAGATCAAATTATTATGCCTTTATCAAATAGAGGTAAAAATATATGTGTAAGATACAGAAATATTAGACTGCATGAAACATTAAAGTGTTAGATGAAATTTATTTTGATCATTTTATGTAGCGTCGATGATAGGGCGATTAACAGAGAATGCTTCTCCTCTTTGAATCAGTATATAGCCATATAGCCACTAGCCACTTTCTTCCTCTAGCTTTCTTTTTTTGTTATTACATAAAAAGTATTCAAATGACGCCTATTCTTCTTCACTATGAAGAAACTTCAAAGGGTAAAAGAAAACTACCGTGCATGTCACATTTATTTTATTTAACATTCATCTTGGAAGTAGATTATTGATCATTATAATTAGAAGTAAATAAAACATATACTAATATACAGGTAAAAAAAGTTTCGAATAAAATCGGGAAACACTCGTAATAAAACAGAAAATTTATTTTAAACTACAGAATATTGCGGTTCATTATGTACGACCAGAGAATTAGAAATTCGTCATTCCATTTGAACGTTTTTGTCAAGCACAATATTTTGGACAACTAGATAAATTTTTTGATTTTGGAAAATATTCTGGTACTATGTACGAAAATACCATTATAGCCTTTTGATGTAGTTTTAATATATTATTCTATATAGCAATTTTATCATCTACTTTACTGGCTGCTCAAAATTGTAAAGCTGTTATTCATTATCGTTTTAACTAAATCTTTTTTTACCAAAATCCCTTAGTTTCAAATTATGCGACAGAACGAAAAGAGATAAAAAGTCAAAAGTTCTTTTCATCGAAAAACGTTGCTAATGCAGACCTCATGATCGGTGATAAGACTGACAAAAAAAACAACAGAATCGCTAAAACATTAATCCCATGCTGCGAAAACAACGTTCTATTACTCTTCTTCCCTTATGGATGAATACAGTGGTTTACTCTTTTCTTAAAAATGCAGCGATTAGCTCTTTTTAGAGAAAAGTTACTAAAAGATATTAATTCCTAATAAATGTAGTGGTGATATTCAACTGCATACTAACACAGATCACACTTCACACTCCCATCATCTCGACTAAAGCCGAACAAAAAAGACCAATCATTGCATGGCTCGCAAGGACCGCAATTCTACCGTGTACTGGCATATAACAGCGCGTCAGGTCAAATGTTAACGTGACGGCATGAAAAAATAAATCGCAAAACATGTCTACGTAATGAATCAGAGACTAAAATTCCCCTTTAAAAAACTTGATGTAAATCAATAAATAAACGTTACCTTTTCGTGACGTTGTAAAGTATTTTGAATCAGTCATTTTTTATTTCTTCGAACCGAATATCAGCATAAATCTAAAATAAACATTTTTTCTGGAAAGTTTGTCGAAATGGAATTCCTATATGATGCTGTATTAAAAACGAATAATTGTAGAGTCCGATTGTGAAAATAAAATTATTACGATGCTAATAGAGGAAAATCAGCTTATCTAAGTTGCAATGAAACTTTAATGTTCATCACAAACGATAGAGCAAAGAAAAAGTACAGAATTTTGTGTAAAACTACTATCTATCTTCAACTGATTGTCACAATTCTGCAGTGACTCGAACAAAAATAGATGACGAAACAAAAACAAGAGTGGAATGAGGCAGTACTCTGTTTTCTTCAGCGTATAATTCCTATTTTCAAATATAATGAAGGGTTTATTTCTTTCTTTTAATCAGTCGCATCTTTTCTTCTGATGCCTTGTCATTAAATATGGCCATGTTAGAGTTGTAGCACAAAACCTCTACAGCTTTTGACAGGCTTCAAACAGGTGATTGTGTTACGAAAAGTAAAAATTTCGTTTTATTTTAATTCGTCTTTAAATTCAATTTCATTCTTATAATATCGTTTATAAACGGATTCCTTTCGGTTTATTGGAAAATAAAAGTTATTCTGTATACGGTTACACAAAACTTAAACAGAAATTAGTTCTTAAGCAGTCGGTCCATTTCGTACATTTTACACAACATCTCAACAGGAATTGATTTTCAATAACATTTTGATGTACTTTCACTATTATACGTGGTTCAAAGATAATCTAGAGGAAAAGTATTGTACCATTAAAAAATGGTCAGCTTGAATTCCGTAGAACTTAGGTCACCGCCATTCTAGTACACACTTTGTTTTAAAGTATAAGAAATAAGTATTAGAAAAAGAAGATTGTTGTTTAATTTATCTTCGTTTGTTTCGTCAAACTCTCTCGAGGAAGAGAGAATTTTGGAAAACGCTGAAATAGATGTCAGTTATAGTCAGCAAACCATTTATTTAAAGCCAATACGATAACGATCTCACCCATGTCGAACATTTTTATGTAATGCCGACAATACACCGCGTATAATCCGAAACCGCTTGGTATACCGTTTCAAAGTTATTTATCTTTTTGTTAGAGAAGTATATAATAACGACAAAAATTAACAGATTTCGAACCTTTCTCTCACTAGCTTGTCGAAACACATGAACTTTGACTTGAGTTACACAGTGCGTCCTAGATGATGGTCGTCGGCCAGTCCAACAACCAAATGAAAACTTTGAAAAATTAAGAGCGATATTTGCCTTTTACTAGTGGCATACTGAACTGTATTTTCTTTTAGATGATAGTATACCACGGTAGTATTTTGTTAGTATTCAAAACGTGCGTAGGATATCTGTCTGGAACATTCTCAACTTAATGGATTTAAATGTTTTATCGTTAACAACCATTTTCCAGGTGAAGTTACTAGATCATGTAAGATCTATCGTTTTCTTCCATCAAATCTTGTGACAAGATCTTACTGCATGGTCTTACAAGATCTTGTCTCAAGGTCGTCGTGTAAAATCCTGCGAAACTTCTTGTTATAAGATCTCATAAGAAGTGACAAGGTGACATATAATAAAATCTTGTGACAAGAAATCGTATGATCTTGTAGTATCGTGTAAAATCTTATTAACGACAGTACGCGCTCATATTCAGTTCTTGTCACAAGATATTGTATGATCTCGAGAGTGGTAATGGCTCATTCTTACCACAGAAACTGCTGCGATATCTAATACATATATAATATACAACGTCATTCGTATGAAGAAACTTAGACTTTTTCTTTAACTTGACACATTGGCTGAGCACAAGAAGTGAATGGTTATAAGGCACGCGATTTGAGACGGGCCCTAAGAATAAAGAGTCCTGCAAATGCTAGAATTATCAAAAACAGGGTGTAGAAGGAATCTGTATGACAGGATTAGGTACATAATTCTGTAAGATCTGATGGATTCTTACGTGATTTTATGAAATCTTGTAAGATCTCGCTACTTCTTGCAAGATCATATGGAATCTTATTGCTAAAAAATCTTATGGAATCTTATGAGATTCTTGTGAAATCCTGGAAGATCTCGTATGATTTTCCTATGATCTTGTGAAATCCTGTGGTATCTTGCAATATGATCTTACAAGAACATATTTCAGGATTATTCGCCCTGGATTAGTACTTGTTGCGGATTAGGTAAGTATACGAGAATCGGTCCAATGTATGTTACACACATCAGCCTTCGAAGTTCATTTAGTAATATGTGATGATTGACTCTTTCGAATGTTCTTTAGAAAACTGGAAAGCAAGTTCAATAGCACAAATTCCTTCTCTTAGAATTTTACTAAATTCAATAGTTAATGCAAAATGTGCCCCAAAGTCTCTTCTTTGGAATATTCGAAAAATGGCCACCGGCACCGTAAATTGAAAAGGACAGTAAAAACTGTTAAAAAACTGTACGTGACCGGCCGCCATTCTTTGTCCGTTATTACACGGCCCCAAAACAGGCGTTTCACTGTATGTACTTGAAACTGAAATTCATATCAATGGTTAACCGTCTTTTAACAGACCAGTTTTACACAGTTAATATATCAGGAAAAATCTGATATCTAATGTTGGTAGTTAAATGTCAGTTTTTAGCCATTTGTAAACAGATCATTCATCCTTTGTAGCCATGCATCAATCCTAAGCACAATCGGGCTCGGTTTCGTTTTAAGTTTAAAAAAAATATTTGGACTATTTCACATAGTAACAATATTAGTTTTTTGGCATTCTAAAGCTGTTGAAGTGCCTGCGATGGCTGATTGATTTAATAACTAGCGTAGATTACAGCATTAGTTGCCATTTGAACAAAACTTTACAACATTACATCATTTGGATTATCATGCAGATCTAAAATAGAATTTCTGCAGTAGTTCCAGTTTTGAATCAATAGAATAAAGTCATCCGAGATAAAGTGAAAAAACAACACGCTCTGTACAGGGCACATAGGCATGTAATTATCAGAATCATAACGCACTCCTCTTTCATGAATAGTGTCCATAATAGCTTTCTGCAGATTATAGAAGAAATTATTCTCAGTCGAGAGTAAAACAAGATTTTACAACTGAAGTACAATTATACTAGCGATCAATTTGAGACATTTAATATGAAAAGCATTGGTTTTCTTCAGCCTTTGATATGTATCATCACTCGGAGCGATTGAATCATTCTAGAACCGTTCTCTGTAAGACAGCTACAAAGGCACACGTCGCCTACTCTTTCTTCTTTCGAATGGCAGTTGCGTGAACCGATCTACCTGGAGAGGCGGTTCTTGCCAACAGTCTTACAAGGGAATATTAATGAGTGTTCCTCCTAGAAACGAGATGAAAAGTAGCCTATCTTGTACAGATTTTGATGCTAATTACGAATATGAATATCTTAGCTGCTCTCGTTGATGTCTTAAAAATATAGGGCACAACTTCTTCGCCTGAGGTACCTCCTTGCTGGTAGATATCACTCGTGTTAGACTACCCTAGCGAATGTACTCACGTGTGAGTACTCAAAGTCATACTCTGCTGAAAAATGTCCGGAGTACTCATGAGTACACATACATTTTTTTACTCATTGAGTACTCACATGAGTACTCATGAGTGAGTAACGAGTACTGTGGGTACGACTTTGAGTACTCATGCTTGGGTATTGTTGAGTACTCATATAACTTTTGACAAAATACTCATGGGTATTGTTCATCTGATATTTTCATATAAAGGAGTGATCTCAGGCAGCCAGTGGCGGATCCAGAATTATTTTTTGGTACGTGCGGTATACGATAAAAGTGCGAGATACGTGCGGTCGTCATAGAAACAAATTATTCTAAGATTCTTCTGGGAAAAACAGCTTTTTTTCGACCGCTCGTACCGCTGGATCCGCCACTGCAGGTAGTCAGAGTAGGACTACAAGTCTAGTCACAGACGAGTCCATTTCTGACCATATACAGAGAGACCAGTGAGGAAGTAATTATATAAATATTCTATGTTTCTTCACTAAATTCTACATTCTTTATACAGTTTCAGTTTAGCAAAATAAAACGGTGAATGAATATTTTCTCAGCACTCACATGAGTAACTGAGTACTCGCTAAGTAACAATACTCAAAAATTGGTAGTAGTACTAATATGAGTACTCATCGACGAATTATGAGTAAAGTCGTACTCATCGTATGAGTCCTTTCACTAGGGTAATATTTTTTAGAAAAAAAGCCAGGAAAAATTGGTAAAAATTCGACATGTAAGAGTCATCTTTTTGCTATAAAATAGCATATCCGAAAACTCCGGGCTCGCCTTTTTTATTAACAGCTCTCTTTTTAAGATCAAGTCAGAAGTGGGCTCACGTGAAATGACTGATTGATACAAAGTTGTATCGTGTTTTCAGCTTCGAACAGATAATTGATCGGAGGCAATTTGTTGTAAAATCTCGCACTTACGAATGGGTATATTCAAATTTTACTGAACTGTCAGAATAAATATCAAATCAAACCAATTGACACAAATCAAGTTTTTATTTTTTCTTAGTTTATTTATCATACATATAACACCAGCAATGAGGAATAGCCAACAGATGGTTCTTGATAGCAATTACTGAAAAAAAGCCGTAAACATATTTGCTTTGTAGCCCAGGCCATCGAAAACGGTGTAATTAATTGTCTATTAAATACCAGTTAATAGCTAATGAAATAGTCATTAAATGGTCATTACACTTTATAAATGGGAACGTTTTAATGCCTTAAACTGACATTTTTTAACAGGCTGAAAACTGTCCGAAAATGGGCAGTTATTCTTGCATGTATAAACAGCGTGTTTCATGTCAGATGAGTGAATCGCATAGTAGCGAGTATCATAATATAAAAGCTTTCTGTGAAAGATTTAGAATGATGAAATTCCTTTTGGTGAAATGCGAGTCAATATGCTTCGTGCTCATTTTTTTTACTACTGCAGAGTATGTGGTTAGTAGTAAGAGATGTCGCGAGTGAACGAGAACATCAAACAATAAGTTTCAATAAGTTGATACATTTCGATTGGTGAAGATGTATCATTTATAAAATAAAATGTCACGTAGATTACGACGATATTCTATTAATTTAAATTATTGATACCTATTATTTACTTATCCTTCAATGTAATTATATTATTTTGCTGGTATATATATTTTGTTTCCACAGTTTTTCACATTTATTTTATTTTACAGTTCAGCAAATAGATGCATAAATAAACTTTTTTCATTTTAAGTTTGATACAAATTTATTGTTTTTTTTTCATATTTATAGATTATGATGCAGAGTTGTACCGAAACAAAATGTTTATAAATCTATCAATTAATAACAATAGTATCAAAAACCAAACACCAGATCTTGTTGGTAATCGAATAATACCTATGTCTCCTAGTATCGATGATTCACCTACCGCTCCTCCTTCAACAACTATTGTCTCTTCGTTTCTTAGCTGTTTTGAAAGAGTAGCCTGCGACTCACAATGGATATCGGAAACAACAAAAAGATGCATCTTTTTGTAATTCCTAGATATGCAGTTGAATGTCCCGTTCATGGTGACATTTTTTGTAGTCGGAAAATATTGGTATGGTAACAATGATCTCACAAACAAAACTTAAACAAAAAAAATGAACCAAAAGACGTAATACGTGTTGAAATAGTTCATGTTTGACCGGAAGATAATATGAGTAAATTAATTTCCGATATAACTCCTTGAAAGATAATGGGAAGTGTTTTATATGCGAGAAGATGAAGATCCATTATTGAAGCATTTGTTTGCATAAACATTTATTTGGTTGTCTTTTCGCTATAGTTATTTATCAGGTCCAACAGTTTAAGTTCGTGAATGAATTGTCGACAGTGTCGTTCCTACATACTAGATGTGAACAGAGTTACAACTATAAGTGAACATACAAATATTTACGTACGATTTCAGTGAAGTCTGTATTGTTTGTTTCTATAGAAATGTTCACAACGCAAATTGTTATTTAGTTTTTAACACCCAAAACACCACTGTCAAATTAATAGTCTATTATGTTTTTGGTTTAAGTTTTAATTTTGTATCAGAACGAAATCGAGTTCATTTTGTTTTCAACCTGTTCTTTCGCATTGTAAAATCTCGTTTTTTAGCAACTTGTTTTTTGTGAAAGTAATGTGAAAGTAAATGTTCATTTCATGACTGTGTTTTCAGTCCATTTACATTGAGTTTTGATATTTAGTATCGAAATATCAAGACAAAGCTTGTTATTTATTCACTAAGACGTGGAATGATAATAAATTTTTTCTAGTTTGTTGTGTACATGAAAAAATTTCATCAACTTTCAGAAACGTAACAATTGTGGTATTTTTGCTGAAAGAAATAGAACTGAATGATTTTTACTAGATAGAAAGGAACTAAAATGAAAAAGTATGATGACACCAGTTATTTTTTTTCTTGTGCTGACGTGCATGCATTTTTGCTTTTTTTTGTGCTACCATTATACACTCTAAACGCCATTGTCAATTTATTCATCTTGCAAATAATATTCAGTAAGACCAGATTAAGTTTGAAAAGAAAAAGGTGATGGCAGATAATTATTTTGGCAGAATATACAATTCGTCTCCAGCCACTGAATCTTCTTTTATTGATTTTAATCATCGGTTACCATCGTCTTGTACAACCTCGTGGCTTGATGATTTTGAATTGAATTTTTCAACAGAGATGAGACAATCAGTGACAGAATTTGTTCAAAAGTTGGATGAATATTTAATTAATATAAAAAAAAGTAAAACACATGCTGAAGCTATGGAACGTCGATTCTTAGCCTTACAGTATATAGAGAATTGGCGAATTGAAAATGTGGCAAAAATAGATCATATAGTCGAACAAGCAACAGATCATTTATTGAATACATTTAAATCAGTTGGTGTATTAGGTATGAAAACATTTTTATTATCTTTTTTGTTTATTTAAACTAATTCGTGAAGTTTTTTGCAGAAGAAATCGAAATAGAGAAAGAATAATTTTTTGTTTTTCTCTTATAGGCAGTCTACATAATCAAGTGACAAAATGTATTGATAGAACAACAAGCGAAGCTCTCAATGAAATTCGACAATCATTAAAACGGGAGAGAAAAACAGTCGATATATCCCCAAATCAGTCTCAACATCATCGTTCAAAATCACGAGAATCAACACATTCGCGTCGAACAAAAAGTATGGACGTATTAAATAGAGAACAAATTGTTTCATCTGATACATTACGTGATCGGCAAACACTTCCAGCTGATTCTTCTCATTCATTTTCAGATCATTCATTTGAAAAACAAGACAGTCATAATCAAACAAGACAAAATGATGCAGTTGATCACTTTATCTCAACTTATCAAATAAAGTGTGAAACGAATCAGCATTTGGCTTATAATAATATCGATCCCTATTCATCTACATTTCTTTCTAATAGTCCAGATCAAAAATTAAGTTCACAATTGAAAGTAGTTGACAATAGCAAACACTTCAATGAAATTTTATCTTTTAATGAAAACAATATGTTTCATTATCCTCGGTCACCGTTAGTAAATAATTCATTCAATCGAATTTTGTCATCTGAAACTGTCATGAATGAGCAGGAAGATAAACGGTATAGTTTAGTGAGTGTAGGAGAATCATCGTCACTTGTTAACCATCATGAAACGCAAAGAGACGCTCAAGATGATTTGGAGAACCAAATACCAATTATCACATCACCAGCATCCGATGAATACAATCGAACACGTGAATCTCGTGTTCGTTATCATTTGATACGTCGTCCAACGCTATTTGTTCACTATTTGCCTAATTATAATAATAAACAAGATGATCAACATTACGATGATGCTGTTGATCATCGTTTAAAGAAAATAGAAGTACATTTTAATCATGTTAATAATTCACAAAAGAATACAATAATAGATCTAGATTATTTTACAGCAGAAGATGTATTGGTGCCATTTAATGATCACAAAAATCGAAAAAAATTTGATTTTTCATTATACAACCCTGATTTTAAATATGATATTATTGATTATGATAACAGTAATGACATACCGATGGTTTATTGTGATTATGGCTATTTAGTTTGTTGTTTTCGTTCTCAACAGCCGGCTGAATTACTTATCTACAATATTTATAATCATTATCTGTGTGGTATTATTAAGTTAAATGATCTTATTATCAAAGATTTACTCTATTTGAAATGGAATTCAAAATGTTTAATTATTATTCATAATAAGTTAATACAGTTCAATTGTCGTACATTAAATCGAGAGACTGTAGAATTTTCTGATGTTAATGAAGAAAAATTCATTTATTATTCATGTGGTACAGTCGATCATGAACAAAAATATCTTTATCTTGTTGGTGGACGATCATACAATGAACAAATATTAAGAAAATATGACGAATATTTTCAACCAATTGAACAATGGATTATTTATAGTCAAGTAGATAATGTACATTGGACACAATCTGTTAATTGTATATGTTATGATCCAATCTCATCTCGTATCGCACTCATTATAGAACAAGTTCCAGTTTTAACTCGATTATCATCAACGAAAAAAGATGAAAATTTATCAAAATTGAAAGTAGTTAGTGAAGATCATCAACTTCAACAAACAGCAACAAGTCATCTTTATGTTTATGAGTCAAACATAAAACACATTTTGTATAAAATTGTCATCGAAGATAATGTTCGACGACAGTGGGTGTGTCCAGACGGTCAAGGAGGTTGGTTATTAAAAGGTACCCATCCAATGAGTAGTTATTCGATAAATGCTGGTGGAATCATGGATGTTCGATATTTTGATTGTGAAAGTCTACAAAATATATTATTATTTAAAGATGATATGGATAAAAATGATCATGATTATAGTAAACGTTTTATTGTACGAACAAATAATCAAATTTATGTTTTAGTTAAATGCTTACAAATAAAATAAGATATTAACATAGGATTAAATTTCTTATAATCTGTTAAAAAATTGTAGTATTTAAGTTTTTTTGTTAATTAAAAATAAACGTCTACAAATAAAGTACAAAACAACTTAGGATAAAAGATTACAGTATATTAATATTTGTTCTTAAAAAGATAGATGAGTCTGATTAATAAGCAATATTTCTAGCTAAAATATGAGAATTATATTAGAGATGATTTTGTAAATTTAATAAATATTTATTTTAGAAAGAGAATAATAAAAAGCCATGTTTATGTATAATGGCTATTCGTCGTATGATACTGATATTCAAAAACATATTATATGTAATTCTACATGTACAATATTTCCGTCAGCGATAGCTGAAAAAACTCTTATACCATGTATTGCCTATATTCATGATTTAATTGTAACAAATCGTCCATTTTCAGTAACAACCGATAAAGATATGAAATGGCTATTAGAAATATTTTCATTTGGATTTACGTGTGAAGATAGTTCAATTTATCAATTGTGTGCCAATGTCTACGTAGAATGGTTAAAAGTGTTTGATCAACAACAACAACAAAGTAACAATAATATAGAACAAAATGTACCAGCATGTATTCCATCAATATTACGAGAAAAAACAGAATTTTATTGGTCACAAATGTTTTGGCATTTATATCATTTATTTGTCATTCATGATGGTAAGTTTCGTTCGATTCACTTTTTTTTTGTAGCTTTAATTGTAGTAAACGTAAAATTATTATTATTTTTTTGATCTTTAGAAAAAAATGCTGATTTACTAACAAAACGCATGTATAGTCATAAAGTACTTCGACAATTGCAAACAATGATTAGTCAAACAGAGCTTACATTTAATTTATGGAATATTCTATTACAAGTTTTTTTGGCTATTGGAGATGCCGTACTAGCTATGCCATATCGAAGTAAAAATTAAAAATTAATTTGACAGAATACAAATTATTTCCTTTATTTCTTGTTTAGCAAACGAAGAGGGAAGTGCAATACTTAGTCATCGTTTAGTACCATCTATTTATCAAGTATGGTTGGTCGCATGTAAAAAAATGAATCCATCACCGGGACTATGGCGAACATTTCGAGATTATGCGTATCAATGGCGACATCGTCCAGCTGTTATCTACGGTAAGATAAGATTTAAGTAAAAACATGCAGTGAAAAGAAATACAAAATCTAATTAATTTTTAACTGTAGTAAATCTAGATCAAAGGAGAAAAAGTAGCGTAGATAGTTGAAAACATACCGAATATACCCGACATACCACGCGAATACTCTTGTCGACAGAAATATTTAGTAAAGTGGAATGAAAACTTAAGATTTGTATTAAATACTCGTTGTCTAGTTGGTTGAACATAGTTCAGCAGATATCCAGAGAACTTTTCAGCTTTCTATATATATTTGATCTAGAATTATTAGAAATCAGTCAATGATGTTAGCGTCCATGCTTATAAAGTTTAACATACCTATCTTAACGAAGGAATAGACAAATGTCAACATCTTGATACGATTTCCATTTCGATACTCTTTTTCTTGTATTATTCATTATATTTCATAACGCCAAAGCCTTAAACAGAGAGAAAAAGTTGAAATGAGATGTAAATGAAAATTCTATTCTACTATCAACTCATTCTTAAGGAAACAATTGTATGTCTTTCAGAGTGTTAGTCGAAATGTATCGGCTCACTTTCCAAATCATCACAAATCCAAGACATGAAGAAATTGGAATTGATTTACTATAGATAAGTTAGAGTCTACTATTGGTTGAAAGAAGAGAGCTGAGATAATCATAGATGATGATGCTATTTAGCTACATTATCTACCAGAAGTCATTCTTCATAAGAATAGCCCGCTGCTTAGACTCTTCCATAAATTCTCCTGGTTTTTCTGTCACTGATACTGTTAGCCTCCTCTAAGCTTAAACTATTTGTCTTTAGCGTTCGAATACTAATCATGCCGTCTATCATGCTTTTGTTGATTAAATTTAATCTATACTTTTAAAACTTATAATTATTCCACAATAATCTTGTTTGTTTTTAAAACTTTGTCGCATCTTCTTCCATATTGTAAAGTCTAAAAAATATATTAAAAAAAAATGTTAAAACACTTATTTCTGTACAATTAAATTTATTATCTTAGTTTTTTCTCTCATTTTTTGCATATGATCGCGGTTAACAGAGTGAATTGAATTAGATCATACTTTAAAAATCCTTTGCTATATTGGTCACTAATCGAAAGACAAAGTCTTTTCAAATTAGCTACCTTTTCTCTGTTTATAATTCTTTTTTGTTTTTTGCATGATATCTATCAAATTTCGGAGTGAAAAAATCATAAGCAGATTTCATCCTGTCGTCATCTTGAAAGGATACTGAAAACATACCCTGACACCCATTACATATCGGTCAAACATAGATACACCAGGAATCATCTTCCTCTTTTAATTTAGATTGGGCTCAATTGTGTTGTGTATTATCATCATATGTTGTAAATAAATTTTGTTGGCCAGATTATGTTCCAGTACCATATACTTGTAAGTATGTAATGTGATCCAATGTATTAAAATAAAATCATCTTTCTTATTTAAAACAAAACATAGGTACAGAAACAGATCAAGGTGATTTTATACAAAAAATCATTGATTCATTTGATTTATATTCACTTGTTACAACATGGTTAAAATTTTTGACTATTCTACGAAATCCAGCTGATTGTGGTGATGTATCGGTAAGAAAACAAAAAAGTAATGATAAGAACAGTAATTATGTTTTTTTCTTTTGTGTAATAGATTTTTTTACGTATGCCACGTTATGTAAACGCATTAGAATCACAAAACAGTGGTACTAAAGCAAAAGATTTTACATCATTACAAGAATTACCAAAAATATTTGTAAATGCAACTAAAGCTGTGGCTATGTTTGTTGACATTTGGCTAGGTGAGTGTCCGTACTATGTTCAGACAGTATAAATCAAAAATGAGGTTTATATTGTTCAAAAGGTAAAGAAGTTGATCCGACAACGGAATTGTATAGCCCAAAGCCGGTGAGTAGTACGGGTACATCATCAACACCTGATGGTTCATCGTTACAACAACGTACAAGAGATTCTGTAAGAGTTCCACCTCCACCACCATTACCACCTTCTATTTTACCATATGGACCGGATAGTGTGCGATCAAAAGTAAAATCACAATCTGATCGAAAAGGTAAGAATTCTTGAGATTAGATTAGTGGGCGAAAATACACCTCTTTTTATGACAATATATTGCATAGGAATAAAAAGAGCGACAAACTATTATTTTTCACATTTAGAGATTGATACATCAACAAGATCAAAAGGTTTAGTTTTTGCTTTGTTGGATTTATTCATCCCTACCCTCGGCTAATTCTATGCTCTTTTGCTATAACTTGTAATTTACACAACACATTGGTTGGTGTTTTTGAATATCTGTCTATATTTTAATTTCAGTTAGTTTTAAAAAAGCAGGTACATAGTATATTGCCTAAATGCTTCCTCGTCCTCTTTAGATCTTCTTTTATTGATGAAAACAAAAAAAATATTAGTTAATCCCAGAGATGGGCGAGTCATCACTTTTTCGAGTCTAAGTTGAGTCCGAGTCAGTTGTCTTCGAGTCGAGGTTCGACTCGCATCAAAAATTGACTCAAGTCACTTCGAGTCATTTTCTAGAGGAAAACTTCCTCCTGTTTGATTTTTCCATGAACAGGTCTCTAAACCTCTGATGTAACCCGATGTTCTACTTAGAATATTGTCAAATCTCTCTCTCTTATAGTATAGAACAAGTATAATAAACACCGTCATAACAATCCCAAGTTGCACATGACTCACTCGAAAGTGATTCGAGCCAGTTTATCGAGTCTTTCACCTCGAGTTCGAGTTTGAGTCGAACGCCCATCTCGCCCATCTCTGGTTAATTCTTAAACTACCGTTATTGTTGTCCAAAATATTTTTAAATAACTAAGCTTCTGAGCTCTTCTTCTTATCATTAATTTCTTTCTACCTATATTTAACATTTAGTAGTTAAATATACACATCACTAGCTTTTGTCATATTTATTTTGCTCACATGTACAATATTAAACTCAATCATAATGTCAAAACATTCTTTACCTTTTTTTTTCAAGTTAGTATGGCTATTGCACCATCATTCACACAATCATCAGGACCACCGGCTGTTGGTAATTCCACCGTTAATAGTAGCATCAGTAACATGGAATCCACATCGCGTATATTAAGAATTAATCGACCAACAGTTAATAGTCTTTTCCATTTGTATGGTCCTTATGTTTTGGATGCTTGTCTATTATTATCCAAAGAGCGACAACAACGATATGATAGTAAGTATTCTTCTAGAATAAAAAAAATTTTAATTAAAAAATGAGGCTACTGATACAGTGTCTTAAATTACTTTTTAAGTATGATGGTGAAGTAAAAGAGAAATTAGTGGTATCTTTAGAGAGTTTTTTAATACGTGCAGTCAAATATATTCTTCTCTCTAATTGTGTTTCATAATGCTTTTCACAAATTCATAGTCAATTGGAACACCTATTCAATCTGTAAGTGTGATTTAGTTCGAGACGTCTGAAGGAGTTGTATATGGTGAGATATCTCTAATTAATTATAAATATGTGAGTAATCTTAATATTGATTGAATTGTGCAATTTGTTAAACTATTTGTTAATAATACACGACAGTTAAATGAAGGCCACTTATAATTTATTTTAATCTTCATGTACATTCGTTTGTTTCTAACAAGTAATGTAAACTAACCTAGTTATTTACAAGATGATAAATACTAAACATTGTTTGCTGATCTTAATTTTTTAAATAAACGGAGTACATGTCATCGTAGAAAAAAAAGTCGAATTGTGTTTTGTTCTTCTTGAACACATAACGAGTAGGACAAAAGTATTGAGACAAAATGTTTGACTATCTTTCTTTAATCCCAATATGTTTGCAAAAAATACTGGAATAAGAATATTATGCTCTTTTTGAATCTATAATGGAAAAATCTTCTATCACTTTTCAATGAACATAATATGGAAAAGCTTCAAAAATTTTTTTTGAATGAAAAATATTATCGACATTTTTTTTTATAATTTAGTAACATTGACGTAATATCTAATAGAAACGAATTTTACTCAATTTTACTTCTACTATGCTATTTTATAGAACGAACTTTTCTCTAGGGGTGGAACTTTCACTTTCCTTTGAAAAACAAGTTAGATTTCCAAACTTTCCTTTGTTTTAGAAAGGAAAGTTTTCGAGATTTTAACTTTTGTTTCTAAAAAAAAACAAAAACGTTAGAAACAAAAGATCTCGAAAATTTTCCTTTCTAAAACAAAGGAAAGTCAAAAAGTCAAACCTTATTGATAGAAAAAGAAAGTGAAAGTTCCATCCCTACTCTTCTCTACAAAATAATATGAATTTAAATTTTATGAATAAAAAAACAAAACAGAATCCGATTATATTGTGTTACAATAAACAGTAGATTTCGAACAATAAAATTTTTATATTTTCAATTATTTTATATTGTTACGCTATAGTGTTCAATAAAATGTTGGTTATTCGGTATTCTTGCATGTGTTTTAAATTATTTAAACATATCATTTTGTAAAAAATATTTGCTCTACAGTTCTAGATAGCTGAAATATTTATTATAATACTTTCTCCAGTCTTTCAGTATTATATCCATTGAAAAGTGACAGAAATTTTTTGTCAATATAGATTCGAAAAGAGCATAATATTCTCATTCTAGCACTTTTTCAAAATATATTTCGATTGAAGAAAGATAGTCTCAACACTCATTATTGAATGTATAGAAAAAAAACAAGGACAAATTAAATAAAAAAAAAGCTTATAAAAAATGTGTGTGTGTGTGTGTCTTTTTTGTATAATGAGATAACACGAATAATGTGGCATAAACACACATTTTTTTCAAATGATGATGTGACATATAATGTAGATATATTTAATATCATTTTATAATTTAATGTATTGTCCTCATTTTAGAATCAAAATATTTATAAATGTGATTTTTATTTTTGTTTGTTTATTTAAATAAAATATAATAGAGAATCGATGTTCAGAAAAATCAAATAATAAAGTTAAATCATTTTTTTAATTAATATACGTACTTCATTTATAAAATTATCTTATTTTTCACAAATTAGTTGTGACAATCTTTTTTTATTAGTTAATACTAAATTTAAACATGTACAGATATAAAAATAATTTAACTAATATTCATCTCTTTTTTTTTCTTTTTATCTTTTCTTTTTTTGTTCAATTATTGGGTTTAATTTTCTCTTCTTTTTTTTTTTAAACTCATTTGAATACTTTATTCTTTGAAAGATGAATATTTT